GTAGCAATGCCCTTGCTACTAGTAGCTTCTAGCTACTAGTAGCAATGACCTTGTTACCAGCAGCTTCTAGCTACTAGTAGCAATGCCCTTGTTACTGGTAGCTTTTAGCTACTAGTAGTGGTGCCCTTGTTACTAGCAGCTTCTGGCTAGTAGAAGCGATGCCCTTGTGCTTCTGGCTACTAGTAGCGATGTCCTTGTGACTGACTAGTAGGGATGCACCATACACATGGCATAATGCCCCTGGCAGAATGAGGACAGTCAGAGTGGCAAGGCTGTCAGAACTGAGGGCCACCGGACCAACATGCAAAGTCAGCACCAAGCGGGCACGTTTGGATGCCCTGCACTCGAGGTTAAGCAGTTGGAACTCTATGTCGAGAGCACACACACATGTGCTCCCTATCTCGACCAAGTCAGGAAACTGCTGTGAATGTGAGCAGTGGAACCAGTGGAACCTGTTGACCCACTTGATCAGTTCTTACTCAACCCAGCTCTTGTCTCGTGTCCGAGCGTCCACTTCGCAGGTCTCGTTCTCGCCGTCCTGTGATAGGTGCATCGACCTCAAAAAAAGGAAGAGTGGTTTCGAGGGGGGTTGTTTGATGTTTACTGTAAAGTGGTTTCGAGGCCATGAATCAAGACCTATCCATGACCTATCGACCGACTCCAGGGACCTGACCGTGAGGCAAAGGGCTCGGTAGCCAAGAGCCTCTGCCTTCTTGACGATGGCCTTGAACACGAAAACGAGGAGAATGACTTCGTTTGTTTCCTTTTTGGTCCAACCTAATAGCGATGGCTTGGTTTCGTTCTTTTGGGGGGGCTCCAGAGAAAAGAGAAAGCCGCGGCTCGTCTACCCGGTCCACCCCAACCTCTGTGATGTCCCGTCGCTTGAAAACATAGAGCCTTAGCAGTGGGAGATCTTGGGAGAGTGTTACACAAGGGAGGCAATATGATTCACAGTGATTCGTACAGCCAAATCCGTTTGCTACACCTCGGCCAAGTTGCTGGAAGATCAAGCCTTGCACTCAGAGTTGATGTCTCATGGTTTGTGGCTTTCGGATGCTGATCATAAGAGCTTGAAAGAGTTTTCTCCGCACCCTCCAACCTAATAGCGATGGCCTCCACCCTAGTAGCAATGGCCTCCAACCTACTAGCGATGGCCTCCAACCTACTAGCGATGGCCTCCAACCTAAGAGCGATGGTCTCCAACCTTAGTGCCTCCAACCTACTAGCGATGGCCTCCAGCCTACAAGTTTTCTCCACACATTCACAAAAGCAAGTCATTTTCCCCAACAAATTGGTTCTCTTCGGCCTTTGGGCTTGCCCTGATGGTCTGTTGGTACTGCTCCAGCCACATCCTGCGAGACTCCACGCTTCCGAGTTCACGAGAAAAGCAACGAGTTCGAAAAGCAACTGTTCTTGATGTGTTTTCTTGATGTTCCTTTCAGACAGTTTTTCCCTTCTTTTCTTAACTCCCAAGGACGAACCTCCATGGACATGGATCCCAGAGAGGAGAGGGTGAAAGCCGACCCAGCACGAACCGCAGCGCGAGCAGTGGCTTTCTCACCGTCCTCATGGGCCTGGTGCACGGAGGCTGCCGGAGAGGCAGCATGCCGGGGGTCCCTTCTGAACCTACTAGTGATGGCCTCCAACCTAGCAGCGTCCTTGCTCCGTTCGTAGCGATGCCCTTTGTTCCTAGTAGCGAACATTGGTCCTAGTAGTAAGGCCAGGAGACCCGTTCGTAGCGTCCGATCGCTCCTACTAGCGATGGCCAACCTAGCAATGCTTGGGTTCGTGGGACAGTTTCGCCCCACCTGGCCATGCATGGCGGATGGTGCAATCATCACCGGGAAGCGCAGGTCAATCCCGAAGAAAGAGCAGCGCATGTCAACCGATCTGGGAGCGCAGTGAAACGGTCACACGAGAGTTCGATGCGCTGCCTTTGGCCAGCAGTGTCTATGCCGTACCCTGTTATCCGTACACACAAGTTTTGCTAGTTGCGCAAAAAAGTTCTCACCTAACCCCAAAAAAGATCAAAATGCTAGTGAGGAAGATTATCTCATGAGCTGTTGCACTCGCCTACCACCTGAAATCACCCTGTTCACCTCGAAAAAAGACAAAACAGACTTGTAGTTTGACAGTCTGCCTATTCTTGACTTTTGACTGCTGGAAACCAAGGTGCGTGACAGGAACCAGCACCCTTGGGATGATGCGGTACTTCTCGAAGGCAGAGCGGTTCTCCTCAAACAAGCGAGCGGAGTTTCTTCGAACGCTCGATGGAGCTCACCTGTGATGCTTTTGGTATCGAAGTCCTTTGGTAGGACGATATGTGGCGAGGAGATATCTCCCAGGCTAAGAGTGAGCAGTGTTGATTCAAAACATATATGCCCCAAAAAGAAAAATGCATGTCAACGAGTAGAAACGTCAGAAACATATCTGCCACATTTAAGTGTCCCTAAAAACCTAGGAATCAAATGAATAGTGCGAGCGCTTCCTGTCCTGGGTAGTAGCTACTTAAGAGCAACCTACCTTGCTACTACCTCCCTCTACAGCCTATCCCCCCCCAAAACGAAACAACCTTTGAAAGCTGTCGACGGCCTATCCCTGTCGAGTTCCTTCAAGGTCCACTCATCCGTGGCGCCCCCCCATGTAGTATCCGAAGCCCCCATTGTCCATGACATCTCTTGCAACCCGCCTAAGCTGATTTTCGTGGCCTAAAGAAACACAGCACTCAGCGCTCAGCACTTAGTGCTCATAACTTTGTCAAGAAGCTCAAAGTCGTCCAAGTTCATGCAAAGTTCATGCAAGCGATTCTTCTTGGCTGCTACGGCACCCTTGGTCAGCTCATTTCGTCTCAAACCACAATTCCGTTTTCTGTTTTTTTTATCATCTGAAGCACCATCTGAAGCATCAAGAGTTGCGTTACCGTCTGGTTTGCGCAGTGCAAACGGGCTTGTCTTTGAAGAAATGGCTACTTGCAGCCGTGGCACATGTTCACGGATGGATTTACTCACCGTGTAGCTCTCATGGCCCTTGGAGAATTCCCGGCGGATGTCCAACCTCAGTTTCTCGCGAATTCTTCATCTCTTCCACCAAGAAACTCCAAGAACCTAATAGCAATTTTCTTTAATAGCAACGGCCTCCATGGCCTCCAACCTAGAAGCGATGGCCTCCAACCCAATAGCGATGGCCTCCAACCTAATACCAAGCCTCCAACCTAGTAGTCATGGCCTCCAACCTACTAGTGATGGCCTCCAACCTACTAGTCATGGCCTCCAACCTAGTAGTCATGGCCTCCAACCTAGAAGCGATGGCCTCCAACCTACTAGCGACGGCCTCCAACCTTGAAGCGATGGCCTCCAACCTTGAAGCGATGGCCTCCAATCAACTAGCGATGGCCTCCAACCTAGAAGC